ACAGCCCAGACAGAAAAATGCCTGCTGCACAAGTCTGAGGACCTCCATTCAGATCCCAGCACCCTCGTGGGAGCCCTGCCTGTTTGTGCCCATCAAAGACCTAGAGCTGGGTATGGGCAGGAGGGCAAAGTCAGAAGGATCCCAGCGCTCTCTGCTCAGTCAGTCAGCTCAGGGTTCAGTGAGAGCTAATTTCATATCTTCAGTAACCATGTAAGAGCCAGGCATGGCCATTGAACATCATTAACCACAGAACTGAAGGCAGGGAAGGAAAGGGAGGATCCTCAGAGCTCTCTGGCTGGCCAGACTAGCCCATCAGTGAGCTCAGGGTTCATGGAGAGACCCTGCCTCAAAAGACGAATTAGAGAACAAACAATAAGGAAAGACAGCCAACACTGCCCTCTCAACTCCATGAGTACATGCACTAACACACACACACACACACACACACACACACACACACACACACACGAGCATACGCACATACATACAAAACTATTTATATACTAATAAAATTTTTGGCAGCTTAGAACACGATTTCCAGTCCTTATGAATTTAGTTATCATTCCCTAGTGGGCTTAACGTGTAGAACTTGAGCCCAAATTGCTACTGAAGAACGTTTTCACCCCACTCAGCATCTGTAAATAGAACTGGCAGTGATTATGAACTGGTTGATGACAGGCACCATGGTGGACTTCTCCTGCCTCCGCTAGGCAGGAGTTTCAGTTTCTGATAAGGCAGAGGAGAGAGATATTGCAGATCAGGAATGATTCAGCACTTACAGTCCCAGCCAATAAGAAACATAGTAATGTGGCTGCTACTCGCTTGGCCAATCATGTTTAGGATTACCTAATATCCTCCTGGTTGTCTATAAAAGGAGCCTGTGAGCTCCTCTGGGAGTTATCACCATGTTGTTGAGTGGCCGACCCATGCATGCAGGAACTCTCCTCTTGACAGATAAATGCTCTTGTTTTTGCATACATGAGTGGTGGTCCTTTGTGGGGTGATCTGTGAACCCTAATAGTTGAAACCCCATAAATTCCAGTTTAGTGGTTTGAAGAGAAATGTCCCCCATAGGCTCAGGTAGTTAAACACTTGGTTTCCTGTTGGTGGTGCTGTTTGGGAGGACTGTAGACCCTTTATCAGACGGAGCCTTACTGAAGAAAGCACATCACTGGAGGTGGGCTTTGAGAGTTTATAGTCTCGCTACACTTCCAGTGTGCTCTTGGCTTTCTGTGTGTAATTAGAGATGTGATCTCTCAGCTTCTTCCTTGACCTCCTGCATTGGACTCTCCCTCTGGAACCCTAACCCCAAATAGACTCTTCCTTAAGTTGCTTTTGGTCATGGTATTTTATCACAGCAAACGAATGAAACACCCAAGATCTCTGAGCCCCATCCTATACCAAGTCTTGTGTTTTATCCTATCCTCTAGCTACTCTCAACTCTCAGGGAGTGTTTGTGTCTGGAGCCTGGTGGCCCGTAGAAAACCCCATTTCTTCATGCATGCCTTCTGTTTTGCCAATTTACAAGCAAATTGCTACAACATTTGACTCACTGAACTGAGCAGCCAGAGAATGTACCTGACAAACCATGACAAAGGGAAATTGCATAGTCATGTTTACCCAAGGCAAAGAGAACTGGACTTTAATTACTGCCAGTAAATTCTCCAAATCCTCCTCTAATTGGTTGGCTAATTTTATTCTTTATTGGATAGTGACACATTTAATTAGTAATGGAGTACAAAATGATGCCATAATAAGTGTATGCACTGTGAAACCAGTAGGACTTGGCACAGTAGTAACAACAGTACTGAGGAAGTGTTTGTGTGGTACTGGGGTTAAAGACATGACCTCACACTAGTACTCTGCCATGGAGCCACCCCCTCCCCCACCCCACCTACAGTGTGAGACTACTGAGTTAAGCTTGTTCACATCACCCAAAATACCAACCACTTATTCTTCCTGTCCAGCTGAGACAATATATTCCTTGATGGACATCTCCCTGCTCCCCATTCTCCAGCTCTGGCTGCTGCCTTTCTGGTCTTATAAGGATTAAGGAGTCAATTACTCAAGTGATGTCACAGTAAATAGGTGTGCTACATCAGAGCACCTCAACACAGGAAGGAGACGAAGGTCTGGAGACAGCTGTGTATTTTTGACATCTGTGTATTTCTAGAAGCCATAATGATGGCCAAAGGTACTGGCTCAGCATTTTCAGTTTTACCAGCGTGTTTATTTTGAGAATCGGCTGTCACATGAAGTATGACTTCAAACCAGCCCAGCCTCAGATCAAAGATTCTTAGAACATCCTCTGACCTTTACTATCTTTACTTCCTGAATACTAAAGCCTCTAGAGTGTGGATACTCATTCAGTTGATTTATTTGGGGGGTCAGGTTTTCGTGCAGTCCAGGCTGGCCTTGAATTCCTAATCCTCTTGCCTCTATCTCCCAAGTGCTAGGACTACAGATGTATGCCGCAAGATGTCCTATTGCTTGTCACAATGACAAGCCCATACAACAGCATCCACCTGATCTCTGAGAAAGATTGCACCTAAGTTCTGGGGTTTGGAGTCTGTCCTCTGGGTATTGTGGGTGCCACACAGGGGTCCTTCAGCACCTGCCCAGAGTCTGGCTAGAGACAGGCTATCTGTCCTTCCTCTGTTTGACTTCTGGGAACCTGAATGTCCTTCCTGTCACCTGAACGTTTCTGTGAACGGAATGCGACTCCTACTTGAAATGCTTCAGGTGCCAATTTTCCCAGCTCCCTACAGGGAAGGCAGATGGGCCCATGCCTTGGGCTCAGTGCACTGATGTCTCCTTCCAAGACTTTGCATCTAGAGCAAGAAACACAAAAAGGCAGACACTAAAAGGTTCTTTCCAGAAGCAGGGCAGATAGCACTGTCTGGCTTCTGGGGACAATGGCTGATCCCAGCAGGGGCCTACTGAGCCCAGGATCTAGACCCAGGGCTAACCAAGGGATCAGGACAAGTGGCAGCAAGCAGCATCTAGCCTCAGCAGTGACCTTGAAGATGGACTCCAGGCTTTCCGCTGCCTTTCTGGTTCTGACTGTGCAGCTTCCTGGGTCCTGACCCTGATTGTCTTTGTTTCCCAACCCCCACTGCTGTGGAAGAAGCACTCTTGAAGGCTGCTTTTTCTCTGTTGCCAGTAATATCATCACTATGCACATGCAAACATATACATGCATACACACACACACACACACCTCCTATCCCATGTAGCTCCAAATGGCCATGAATTAGCTCATCCCCTTCTCTCCTCCAACTGCCCAAGATCCTTTCCCCATCTACACCCACTTCCATCGTATGCCACTGAAAACCACGTCTCCCTCCAGCCAACTTCAGAGCCATACACTCAGGTGTCGACTAGATATCCCACTTAGGGGAGCCTCGCTTCCCCTCAACTCCAAGTGACCCCCACTGAAGCCACACTCCTGCTCAACCTTCAGGTCCCGGCTCTGCCATTGCTCTCTGATTAGATGTCTGCATCTGCTTCAAAAGTGTTGTGCAAAAATAACTTCACAAAAGCAATTAAGGAAGTGTCTGCCCTGAGAACGCAGGGTGTAGTCTGGGTTATCCCGGGCAGGAACATTCGGCACCCGGAGCCTTCAGTCAGGACACAGCCTGCGTTTTACTTGGACGAAGGCATTGCTGGTAGGCGGCCAGAACTTAGGTAAGGAGTGTGCTTATTTGGCATAAAACAAGTCCCTGCAACTGTGAGAAGGGCATCCCAGGGGACTATTGAACAGTGAACTTGCCTGTGTCCCAGATGTTCCCACCTGGCTGTCCTGGATTTTGTGAAGACCCCCAGCAGGCATTCTTCACAGCAGGACAATGTGTGGGAAGGCTGCAGGAAAGCTTAGGGGTAGCAAAACGGGGGGAGGGGGAGCAGGTAGATGGCTGGCCATGAGCCCCACACCCTCCATACCTGATGGATATCAGAAGTGAGTCTGTGCCCAGGTGAGCCTTGGTCAGAAGTTGAGGTCAGTTGCCGGGAACCCATCTGGGAGATGTTATATTTAGACATGAGGATGTACCAGAGAGGGGACATAAAGTAGAAAGGAGCCAAGGAGGTGGGCAGGGCGGCCAGACAGACCCACCACATAGGATGTGGGATAAATGGGGAACTAGAACCAGTAGCCCGAGGAGAATTGGCTCCAGGCATCCTGGTAGGTGTGCGAGCAGTTTTAATCTCCCCCACACTGGCTGAGAAGGGGACTCAGTGGGGAGAATCATCATCTGTGCCAGCAAAGAGCATAGAGAAAACGCAATCCAGCCTCACCACCCACGGGATGAGGTCTGCATCTGAGGAAGGCTAAGCATTAGTAAGCAGCTAAGGATTCTACAAGAGAGAGACAGGCTATTGTGGGTTGAACCCCAAATTCCGTCACTCCAGCCTCCACACCAGGGCTGGCTCTGCTCACTCTCCGAGAGCTGAACCTAGAGCCTTCCAATCCTCTCAATTATCTCTCTCTGTCCCCAAAGCAGCTGTGTTCACTACACCCCAAATACTACACAGGTAAGAAGGGATTTTCTCCTAAAGCTCACGGTTGGTTCATCTGGCAACCACGTATAAAAGCTTCCATAGCTGCAGCAGAAGATCCTGTGCTTTTGAAGCTGAGGGGATAATTCTTAGTAGACATTTTCTTAGAAAAATACAATACTAATTCTAAATATTTTGTATGGCTTTCAGCATAAAACATTTACACCTGAATGTTTTACACCATGGTAATATTATATCCACTAGTAGAACAGGGAAATTCAATCTCACTAATGACCATACAAACGCCACCCCTGGAACCATCAGAACAATAAAGTAGAGTCATGGATGAACATGGATGGGGTTTCAGCAATGTGAGGCGTTTGCTCACACAACATCAAACTAGACGCAGTGGCCCATTTACATACATGAAAAGCAATATGTTAGACAACATTCCATGTTCTATGGTCAGTGTGTCGTGTCATAAGAGCTGAGACTGTTGGATCTGGAACCAGACCCTGTGACCTCTGAAGAGGTCAAGTTGTGGGGCCACTTTATCCCTCTGCGCTTCAGTGCTCGTCTGTAAGGGAACAGTCCTTACTGTTGGCGCTTTCAAAAGGGTCTGCTGAGAATGCATCCCTCGTCCCTATCCAGTATGAATCGAAACCCCGGAGCTGGGCAGATGGGGAGCGTTCCTTTTGTTTCTGATGAGGCTGATGCTAGAGTGTGGGAGTTGTGGCTGCTGTTGGTAGTGTCATCGGATAGTGTATGTAGTGGGTAGCCATTCTAGGACAGCCTGTGGCCGGGCCCAGCGTGGCTGTGACCAGCTGTGCTCACTACACACAGGTGTGGATGCTAAGGGTAAATCCTCATCTGTTTAGACCCAAACCTTCTCCTGGCTACCAGCACACACAGGTATCTTGCTGCTATTGGAATAATTTTAGAGCAAAAGAAAATTCCTTAAAAACAGTACAAAAGCTAACAAGGTCTCAGCATCAAAAGATATTTTTGATCTAAGGGGAAAAAATGAAATCAACTTAGAAAAAGAGAGCTGGGCTGGTGGGGTTGCCCAGTGGGTAAGGGCGCCAGCCACCAAGCCTGACAGCCTTAGTTTGATCCCTGGAACCTATGTAGTACAGAAAGAGAGTTGACTCACACGCGGTCTCCTCTGACCTCCACACATGCTCTGTGGCACATGTATACCACACGGACACACACATACACACACACACACACACACACACACACACACATATAAACGCACACTAACCAGTGGTTCTAGCCTTCCTAACACAGCGACCCTTTAACACAGCTCCTCACGTTGTGGTGACCCCCACCATAAGATTATTTTCCTACAGCTACTTCCTAACTGTAATTTTGCTGCTGTTTTGAGCCGGAATGTAAACATCAGACACAGCTAGGGGGTTGAGACCCACGGGTTGAGGTCCCCCGCTAAACAAACAAGAAAACTACATTTTACAGAAGGAAAAGAGAAAGCTAAATAACACCGCCTCTTGATCCCGGCAGGCTGTGGAGGAAACCTATAACCTGGCAATTCCTCAAGCAGACTTTGATGTTCGTCATTCCACTCAACGCTGGCTTCTCTGCGACAATCCACTCGAACAGAAGCCGAAAACCAGCTCCAGCCGGCCCGCAGAGCTCAAGTGTTTGCCACGGAACTGCACCGTGCTTCTTGAGGTGACTCATAAATGCTTCATGCTGCACAAGAAGTGTTTGTATACGAAGATATGACTGCGTGGAAACAGTAAATATGCTCTACAGTTTCATCAATACGGCCATTCTGTTAAAAGGCACAGTGGAGAGGGAGGGTTTAAGGCGTATGTAAGGGTGGGAAGAAAACAGTGTGAGATGTCAAAGTCAAGGAGGAGGAGGAGGAAGGCAAGGGAAAATGGTGGGTGGGGATGGAACACATACATACACACACACACACACACACACACACACACACACACACACACACACCTGAGTGAATTCTTCACCCCTGCCATGCCACCTCGATAATTTCCTTTCATTCTTCCAGAGATGCGCCCTGGGGATCTGGGGACCTTCCATCTGCAGACAAGCGTCCTCTGCAAGTTAGGGACTGACTGTCACACCGTGTCCCACCAGTGCTGACTGCCACACAGTGTCACAACAGGAGACAGGGAACCTTCTAGAAACAAGTAACTGAAGCATGCTTGATAAAAACAACTTTTTAGAAGGCAGTAGGCGGGGAGAAAGGAGGCCTTTCCATGATGGAAAAGAATCTGGGGCCTCAGAAGACCTAAGGACTGACCCTACCCTGGGTCGGAAGGTACTGATGTTGTTACTAGGGCAAAGCTGGGGTCAGGGAGACACCCACAAGCAGCAGAGGGAGCGAGTTTCCCAGATGGCCCAATATGCCTTGTCCTCATTACCTTGTGTGGACCCACGAGGGGCCAGATTCCCAGAGGCTCATGTGGAGGAGCCTGTTGTCACTGTATGGAAGGAAGCTGTGTCCAGAACTGAGTGACTTGCTAACTTAGAGAGTAATGAGTTTAAACCTGGTCTTATACTGTTGCCATAGTGACCGACTAATAGGAGTAAGCTGGGCAGCCCAGGCAAGATGCCAGGCCAACCTATTCCAAATGTGCTTGGCTCTCTGTGTCCATGGTTCCACTTCTGCAGATTGAATCAGCCGTTATTAAATCTATCAGATCTGGGGGTAATACTGCCTCTTCACTGAGCATGTGCAGATAATGCAACGTTAACACTGTACTGGGTATCACAGAGATGGTTCCAGGAAGACCATGCACAGGTTATATGCAAACATCTCTCCATTTTCGGAAGGGACTTGAGCATCCATAGATTTAGGTATCGGGGATGCTGAACCACTAGACACCTTTAAGCCCAGTTCTGCCCAGGCCCTGAGCTGAGAGACAGTCAGGCCTGGCAATGTGGGCTCGTGTCTTCCTCTATGACACAGGAGTTCACAAAACAGCTGCCTTCCTTACATCCCTGGCCATGGCTCCCTCTAGAGCAATGAGGCTGGGCTCTGTCCTAGGTGTCCCTTACTTCACCTCAGCCGGGCAGTGAGCTCAGCTTCTCTGCACCTCAGCTCACTGTCCCAGCTTCTCTCTCTCTCTCTCTCTCTCTCTCTCTCTCTCTCTCTCTCTCTCTCTCCTCTCCTACTTCACAGCCTTTGCTAAAGCCGCAGTCTAGATTTCAACCGCCCAGGGCCCCCTGGGTCTGGCCATTTAGATGGACCCCGAAAGGGAGTCTCCCAGCTCTGGCTCCCCTTGCCTTCTCCATCCACTTCTCTAGGAGCTCCTGAGAAAAGCGTGGTAGCAGCAGGTGATGAGTGGTGAGAACCTGCTCAGCAAGGAGGATTGTGGGAGGCCAGGGAGAGAAGTGACCGCTCCAGCTGGCTGCTTTGTGACGCTGCAGGTCGGTGAGGAAGCTGTACCATCTCACTCGGGGTGTGTGTCACACGGGACGCTCCATCTGGAATTCCTAAAGTCTGGAACATTTGGACTAGGGGTAGCTTGGGGGCTCACTCCTCAGAAAGAGAGAAGTGGAACAGAAAACATCCTGGTGGTAAGGACTATGGCTGCTCATACTAAGGAAGAAGCAGGGGGTTTGGTTTGTTTTCCCTGGAAGAGGAAAGTGTAAAAGTGAGTGGGAAGTGAGAACTCAAAGAGAAGGGGATGACAGCTGTGGACACAGGGAGAGAGGACAGTCTGCTGGCAGAGGGGCCCCAGGGTGCCCGGGGGTCAGGAACAAAGGCTGTGTGCATGAGAGCAGGACCACGGAACACAGCTGGTAGAGGAGATGCCAGAGCCTAGCTACTCCCCGACACATCAGACTTGACCCAGGCTTTCGCTAGAACCATCACAAAGAGCTCCTGAACTTCGCCCTTTTCTTATATACGCTTGTTGTGAATAATAATAAGAAAACAGCCATGATTTAAAGCTAAAATGTATTTGGAATCTTGAAAGTTCTACAGGGGAAAATATAGAAGCTAGTTTTCAAGATTTGCTAAGGGATAAAAAATGCTCTTAAAAAACTCAATTTCCATTTTCTGAATATTTTCTGACTCTGTTGGCATTTAAAGATCTCAGAAGGCCAAGCTCTCTCAGAGATGAAAAAATCAGGTCACAGGGGATTATGGAGGGACACCAGGACAGCTGCAAGGTGGCTTTTCTATCCATCCCTCAAATCCTACTAGGAATCACTGTTCCTTTGTCCCCTTTCAGTGTGTGTGGTGTGGTGTGGTGTGGTGTGGTGTGTGTGTCTGGTGTGTGTGTGTGTGTGTGTGTGTGTGTGTGTGTGTGTGGTGTGTATGAATGATGCATGGGCACTCACATGAATGAATGCACCTAGGGTGTGGTGTGCTTATGCACAGTGCACGTGTAGAAGTCAAAGGATACCCATGGATGTCAGTCCTCGGGTGCCTTCCACCTTTTGTTTGAGAGAGCATTCATTTCTCCTGGCCTAGCACCTTGCTCAGTAGACCAGGCTAGCTGGCCTGCAAGCTTTCAGGGATCCTCGTGTCTCTGCTCCCATATCTCAGCGCTGGGACTACAGACATGCACAGCTGCTGTGCCTGTGGGTTCTGGGGATCTGGACTCAGCTTTATTCACTAAGCTATCTCCCCAGCCCCTGGACTCTTCCTTTTCTGATAAGGAAAATAACTTAATGTTTCCTTAACTCCAAACAAGAGCTACATCTGGAAGAATGTGCAAATTACATGGAGCTTAGACTGAGTTCTCCTGGTGTTAACTCGTGATCTCCTCACATCCCGATGAGTTAGTACTAGATTCATCCTCAGACTTCAGATGAGGACTCTGACCAATCCAAGCCTGTTGTGGAATATTATTTTAACTAAGTAAAGATGTGTTACATCTGTTTATGCTATGGAATATTCTTGTGGGCCACATGAATTTATTATAGAGATTCAGCTGTGTATTAAAGCTTTACTTTGACCAGCCAAGGGTCTGTCAAAAGGCAAGCCATTTATGAATATTTGGTATTATACAGTTTTTAATATTTTAGTTCTCTTCTGTTATGAAATTCTTATGTGCTCAAATACTTCCAGACCATTTTGCAAACAGCTAAGCTTCTCAGACACTGTTCCACTAGGTACTAACTCCCTACCACCACCACCCCACCTTCCCTCCCCCTCCCCCCACCTCCACCCCCCACTGAGCCTAGGAGACTAACAGGCTACCAAATGTATAGCTTTGTTTCTTGGGCAAATCAAGTGTTCAGATCCTCCACTGCCCCAGAGCAACTTCTTAGATCAAAGGGGTTTCCCCTCACCAGGTGCTTCCAGCTGTGATGCAGACTGACTAGCTCTCAGTGCTCCTCCCCCGCCCTGTCAGAAAACTGGTGCAGAGAAAAACAGTGGCAGTTTTATTTTAGTGACTTATAGATTTCTGTACCCTATCACCTGTGAGTTTGTAGGTTGAGCACAGTTATGATAGACTGGTAATGTTTTCACCTAACCACAGTAAGGGTAGATTCCTAGCACATAAATTCCTTCTTTGGTTTATTCCAGCTCCTATTTAACTCCACCTTTATTCTCTTCCCCCTTTTGGGTTGCAAATAAAGTGGCCAGGAAACTTCTGGTGGGGACCTTGCAATTCATATGTTGCATTGTAAACATGAAGGTGTTGCTGTCTTGGGAAAGATATGGACCAGTCCCGAGAGAAGCGGGAGGAGTTATGATGGCAGAATGATGGTGGCGGAGGAATAAACGAGTTGGACGAAAGAGATCCGTGTATCTAGACTCATTCCCGCGCCACTGGTAGCGTCACTTCTGGGCCCCTGGGATAGTATAATATTAAGGCTGGTTCTATAATATTATACGAAACCTGGCGCCTGAAAGAATATTACTTTAACCATGTAAAGGTGTGTTACATTGGTTTATGCTACATTTGTTTTACCTTGCCTGCCTAGGCACCTGATTGGTCTAACAAAGAGCTGAATGGCCAATAGCTGGGCAGAGAAAGGATGGGTGGGGCTGGTGGGCAAAGAGAATAGGTAGGAGGAGAAATCTAGGAACAAGAACAAGAAAGAAGGGAATGAGGAGAAAGAGAGGGACGTGCCTGGGGCCACCAGCCAGGCAGTACCAGCCAGGCAGACACGAGAGGTAAGACAGACAGAGGAAAGAAAGGTAAAAAGCTCCGAGGCAAAAGGTCGATAAAGAGAAACAGGTTAATTTAAAAGAGCTAGCCAGAAATGAGCCTAAGCAGGGCCAAGCATTCATAACTAATAAGTCTCTGTGTCACGGTTTGGGATCTGGTTTGTGGTCCAAAAGAAAAGGCCTGGTACACAAGCCTATGATCTAAGTGAGAGTTATGGAAAAAAGTCAAAATCACAGATAATAACTCCAGCCAGAGAAGCACCTAGTATTTCAGAGTTTTTTCCCCTTAATTTTGTTCTTGGTTTATATATAAATCATTTTACTACAATATAACATCTTATCATACTAAATACATATCATGTGTATATATGTGTATACATATATTTTGTGCATATATATAACAAACAGTGTATATATGCCTTTTCATATATATATATACATACACACACATTTTTTTTCTTTGTAATAACACATGGATTTATTCAGAGCTTGGCTACGACCCTATGGCATCATTAGAATGTCTGTGTGTGAATGATTTTTTTATTACACATCAAGATTCTTCTCCATTTTCTACAATTATAAACAAAGCTTGGATAAATATCCTGGATTAAACACTTTAGTGTTTATCTCATTAATTTCTGCATGTGAAATTCCTGAAAATAGTCCTTCCATACTAAGCATGGTAAGTTTCTTAAAGTATAGAACTTTGGGAAGATGTTCTATCAGCCCTGAGTCCCCAGAATGTGGGGTGAATGAATGTATTTATAGATACTTCGCTCACTTGGAAGAGACAAGCTTCTAAGCTGGTGGTTCTCAACTTGTGGGTCATGACCCCTTTGGGGTTCCAATGACCTTTTCACAAGGGCCACCTAAAACCATCGGAAAACACAGATATTTACATTACAATTCATAACAGCAGCAAAATTAGTTATGAAGTAGCAACAAAAATAATTTTATGGTTGGGGGATCACCACAACATGAGGAACTGTATTAAAGGGCCACAGCATTAGGACGGTTGAGAACCACTGCTCTAAGCTGAAGCCTGGTAGAAAGCCAGAGTAGGAAGGATGAACATCAGTCATCTTTCCCTCAAGGAATATTGTTAGTGCTTTACAATGCTCCAATGAGCACAAGAGTCTAACCATAGACAGTGGGTCCTCCCTACTGACTAGGAACATCACTAGCCCCTAGATGCCTGGTCCCAGCTAGCCCCAGCCTATGCCTTCGCCTCCTTCCAGGCCTGACTACTCTTACAACCAAAGGTGAGTGCAGTAGCCTTGATGCTTCCCAAGAACATGCTAAGTTTCCCTCTCTAACACCAGCACTAGGGAGGCTGAGGCAAAGAGGATTAGAGTTCAAGGCCAGCCTAGCTACACTGTGGGTTCTAGGCCAGCCTAGATATGACTGCGTCTCAAAAGGAAGAGAGACAAGCCAGAAAACTGACTCAGTGGGGACAGCACTTGGCTCCAGTCCTAACCACTGAGTCTGATCCCCAGGGTCCATGTGGTAGAAAGAAAGAATGGCTGCAAATATGTGTTGCTCCCATTGGCTAATAAATAAGCTGCTTTGGCCTATGGCAAGGCAACTTAGAGGCAAGTGGGAAATCCAAGGAGAGAGACAGGGAGGAGAAAGGCGGAGTGGAGGAGACACCAGTCTGCCGCCCGAGGAGCAACAAGATGCCAGCAGACCAGTAATGCCACGGCCATGTGGCAACATAAAGATCAATAGGAATGGGTTAATTTAAGATGAAAGAACTAGCTAGCAAGAGGCCTGAGCCATAGGCCATACAGTTTGTAATTAATATAAGCCTCTGTGTGTTTACTTGGGACTGAGCAGCTGGACCAGGCAGGGCACGGGAAAACTTCCATCTACAAAAGAACACATATGCCCACACAAATACACACAAAAAAGTAAAAATATAATTAAAGTATTTTTAAAGAAGAGAGGTGGTAAGAGGAGGGAAGGAGAGAAAGGGAGGAGGGAAGGG